AGAGGTGGGACAGGGGCTGGGAGTAGTGGTTGGGATGGTGACTCAAAAGCACTTTCCTGTGGGCTGAGAGCAGTGGGAGGGATGGTGCCCAACAAGCCCCTTCCTCTGGACCAGTGGCAGTGGGTTGGAGGCTCAGAAGCTCCTACCTCTGGGCCGGGAGCGGTGGGAGGGATGGTGGCCCTGAAACCCCTTCCAAAAATGAATAATTGGCAATGCGAAATAGGAAGAAAAGATCCAAAAGGGTAGGGGAAGAGGGAGCGATAGGGGAAAGTAAAGAAGGAAAGGAAAAAATTATGAGTAATGGAAAAATTGGAAACAAAGTCTTTGTAAATAGGGAAAGGTGGAGGGGGTGAAGGGAGGGCAGGGCATGGGGAAAAAATAAGAACCAAGATACATCATGTAAAGGTACAGGTTCCCCATGAGAAATGTAGATGTATTGTACATCTAAAATGTGCCAATAAAAGAATTTAAGGGAAAACACCCCCCAAAATTTAGAACTCATGAAAGAAAAGCAAACTCTTACCTCTGTTCAATGATCTCCATGGAAGACCTCCAAATCATATAGGACATCAAGTAATCCAAATAAGCAAAAATAATCCAAACAAGGGAAATATTATATCTCCCAACCTGATAGATATTTGAAATGCAAGTTTGTGTTCTCTAAAAATCTAAGAATCAATTCTAGGAACAACAGAGTTTAAGAGTAAGAAATATTACTGAGGCTCAGACAGCTACTGCCTGAGAGTGACAGGTGGGGACATCAGAAAAGTGGGATTACCTGGAGGCCTGTTTTCCAGAGAATTTTTATGGAGCAAAGCGAAAAGTTGTGGTGGGTACAAAGTAGGACAAAACTATAGCCAAGTAACAAGATCCAGTGGGAAATCACAAGATGGGCATAAAGTGGGACAAGACTATGATCAACCAATAAGATTATAAGTAAAGGCACCCAGGTAATATTGATTAAATTGGGATCAAATGGATAAACAAGTCACATAGCCAGCATATAAAGAATGAACAAGGAATTTCCAGAAAGGAAAGGGGTTAGGGAGATTGATGCCTATTTAGAATATCAATCACTGCTATTCATCTGTAGGGGAAGTATGTGAGTATAGAACTTTTTCTCTTCTTATAATGCTGACCTTCAGTGGATGTGTCTGGATTGTCTTTCCTATTGATGCCTGGAGGGTTGCCGCTAACTACCTAGAAGATATCTAGTTAACTTAGTTGTTTACAATAAATGAATTGACAGAAACTTATCCAAAACAATCAGGCTTAAACAGGTAAATATGTCAGCCTTATGTAGAACTATTCCTTTGTCAGTAAATAACCTTGATATGAAGATGCTCGAAGCTTCAAAATTATTAGAGAATTTATGATGGTGTAGTGCTAGACATACCTGTGAAACAGAAGGTTGGTGGCCATAGTGGTGAGAAACAAAACAAATACTTGGTGGCTCAAAATGACAAACATTTATTTCTTTACAGTTCTGAAGGTTGGCAATCTGAAAGGAAATCTCTCACTGCAATAAAGCCAAAGAGTTGGCAGAGCTGTTTTCCTTCCCGGGTTTCTGGGGGAGAATCTGTGTCTTTTCCAGCTTCTGTGGCTCCGAGATTCCCCTCTATCTTCAAAGCCAACAACGGCTTGTCTAGTTTTTCTAAGGCTGCTTCACTGGGACACTGTATCTTTGGCCTCCCTCCACACAGAGATTCTA